TGCTGACTCTGTAAACCGCTTAGAGAGGGCTGAAAGCCCTATGAAGCGGTATATAAGTCTAACTGCTATTGCTATTGCTATTTCAATGGTTCTTCCAGTTTAGAGGGAGAAACGGCCCCTCCTCTTTTCAAGTGGGAGGGATTCGAACTCGCCACTCTCTCCCGAGAAATGGAAAGAGGGTCTCTGACCATGGGAAAAGCCTGCTGTGAGGATGCATGCAAGAGAGGTGATGGTGGGGGGGGGGCAGGGCAGGCCCCCTCCCCAAATCTTTTTGTTTGGGGGAAGGGCGCAAGGGATTTGCACTGGCTACCTGGAAGGGCGTGGGTTAGTTTCTGTTGGGCTTCAGTTTAATATTGTCCTTGTCATCTGACCGCAATCGCGCCCCAAACTTCCGTCGTTAAACGAGACCTTTGTTAAGGGAGCATCACCCATTTCACAGCTTTCTCCGTCTCCCATTTGGGAACTGAATGGCTGCAGTTGTTAACGTCAGTCCACCTGGTCATTAAGTGAATCCGGCTCCCCCGTTGACACCTCGGAATGTCGTAAAAAAAGGGGATCACATGACCCCGGGACACTACGACCGTAATGAAGATGACTCGGTTGTCAATCGTCCGGACTTAAATCACGTGACCGTGGTGGTCGTAAGTGTGAAAAATTGTCTAGTCCTCAACTTAGGATAGTTTATTTAGTGACTGTCCAAAGTTCCGACAGCACTGAAAATAAGGGGAACCGTTTTTCACACTCTCACAGGTGATCAAAATTCAGACAGTTGTCAACTGATTCGTACTTATGACAGTTCATTTAATGACCAAAGTTACAATGTGGCTGGACAAAGGGAATTTTGGCTGTTTCCCACACTTAGGCCATTCCACATCTTCATGGTCACGTGATCCAAATTCAGAAGTGTGTCGACTGATTCATACTTATGACGGTCGAGGTGCCCAATGGTTACATGAACCTCTGTTGCAATCTTCTGTCCAGCAACGTCAACGGGGAAGCTGGGTTAATTTAGCGACCGTCTGACTCACTTAACAAATGCAATGATTCATTTAACAACAGTGTAAATAAAAGTAAGTCATATCATAAAATGGATCACCTTTAGCAAGGTAAATTAGGGGCTCAATTGTGGTCGTAACTCGAGGACCCGCTGTATTGCCATTTGCAGCGTCCTGTGATCGTCATTTACGACATCACAAGCTGGCTTCCGACAAACACAATGAATGTGGGAAGGCAGATTTGTTTAATGACCATGTGATTCACTTAACAACCATTGTGATTTGTTTAACAACCAAAGGAAAAAAGGGGGACAAATCAGGCCTGACTCACTTAGCAGCCGCCATTCTTAGCAGTGGGAATTTTGTTTTCAAATTGTGGTTGTAACTCGAGGACTACCTGAGATGGAGAAATGGAAGAATTTCATTAGATGGGGACACCTTTCATAACCTTGGCAACATAAAAGATGTCTGGACTTCAATTCCCAGAATTGCCCAACCGGCCATTTTGACTGTGGAATTCTGGGAGTTGAAGTCCAGACATCGTAAAATTGCCAAGGCCGAGAAACACTGATCTATACAAATAGTCCTTGACTTATGACCATAATTCAGACTGACGTTTCTGTTGCTAAGCGAGGCAATGAAGTGTGTTTTGCCCGTTTTTACCACCGTTGTCATTTCAATTCAATTTATTAGATTTATATAGGCCGCCCATTTGAATCACCCCAGTGGCTTCCCCATTGACTTTGCTGGTCAGAAGTTCGCAAAATGGGATCCCGTAACCCCGGGGCACTGCGACCGTCATAAGTGTGAGTCCGTTGACAAGCGTCTGAATTTCATCACATGGAGATATTACAACTCTTTGTAAGATGTGGGGCAAGAGGCCCCTAGAGTCGACAAGCTTGTTACAAATTGGATTGAAATGTGGAAAGACTATGACAGACAATTCAATTCGTTCTCATGAACTACCGGAGGAGGAGCTAGGCCGCTGTGGGAACCATGGATTACTCTCCCTGCTGGGAGGAGGAGGAGGAGGAGGCGGAAGAGAAAACAGAGAGACAGGAAGAGAAAGAGAGGATGTCGTGCAGGCGCTTAAGCTGAGAGGAATTGAAGAATACGTGGAACATCATCCTTGCAGAAGAAATAAGGTTGCCCTGTCCCCCACACATTCTAGACCAGGGACTAACCTCGATTGGCAGATCGACAAAGTTTATCGCGTTAACTCTTGGGTGGCAAAGCAGAAGCAGCTTCCTCGAGACATCGTTAGGAAAGGCTTTTGACTATACAGGTCGTCCTCACTTATTGACTTCTTGTTCAGCAACCATTCGAAGTTATAGCAGTGCTCCACAAGAAGACTTAGGAAGTTGTGGCTGTCGCAGTGTCCCCCACAGTCACAGGATCATGAATGGGGCACTTGGCGACCGGCACACCGTTACAAGGGTCACAGCTTCCCACAGTCACATCATCACCTCTTGCGATCTTCACTGCCAGCTTCCCATAAGTCAAGTCAATGAGGAAACCAGCCCCCCCCTGATGTGGTCCGTAATGTGCACAGCATTTGTTAACAACCACAACCTGAACTGTCATCGAACACTGAAGATTGCATTTAATTTCGTTGTACAAGGTGCAATGGCAATAAAGTAAACCAAACTTTAAAAACTTTCTTAAGTGTGAAAAACGGTCAGAATGTTGTTCCCCCCCCCTCTGCACCATTGTAACTTTGAACGGTCGCTAAATGAACTACTGTAAGTCAAGCACTACCTATAATAATCATAACAATCCATTCCCCCAAATTTGGAAGAAAGTCAACAAGGTTTGAAGAGATGGCATTGGATTCTTTCCTTATCTGGAAAAAATATATTCTGTGCCACAGATGCGGTATGCTGGCAAGATTTGGAATTGTGTGTTGTTCAATCACAACAGCAATCCGGCCGCTCGGTTGTGCCATCCTAGGATGTTAGTGTTCTCAACAGCCGAGGGGGGGGGGTTGTCATATAACTCCTTGTGTAGGTGTGGCGGTCACCCATGGCCCAGTGCATAACAGGGCATGCGCAGCCACGCTGAACCACACAGGAAAAAANCTCAGGATGCGGCCGGGAGGGGTTGATGACGGCCTCCATGGGACACAGTCCAAGACACTGGTGGCCGAAGTTTTTAGCCGACCGGTGGAATGAATGATGCCATGGGGACCACCACACACGATCTCCTACAGCCACCTCCAGCACTGCACACCGAGACCCATCTGCCGCCCTTCGGTGATCCTTCCTCGCTCGGCCCAGATAGCAGCACCCCACCAGATGAGCGAAGTGGCGCAGTGGCAGCAGCCTGCTGGCAGCAGCATGACATCTGATGGCACCAAACAGCCAAGGCTTTCCCCAGCAAACCAGTACCGCCCCAACTGGAGCAGTCTTCTACAATGGCCATGTGCCACCTGGCAGGCCGTTCCATGCATCGAGGAGCACCATTGCCGCCCAATGGGTGTTGGCCCTGGTGGATACCGCAGCGGCTGGACATGCACAGCCCCAAAGCCACTGGCTGCCCGATGGTGGTTACTGGTGGGCATGGGCAGCCAGATGGACATGGAGTGGGGTTCAGAGAACTAAAAAGGCATTCAGAGGTGGACGGTCCCAGCGCTGACTTTCCTACTAGTCGCATTCTGAGGCTCCGGCCTGTTTGTGGGGATTAAAGCTGAGTTTTGCTGCCTTTTAGTGTGTATCTTGGCTCCCTTTTTTTCCTATCAGACCTGGCCTAAACCAGCTGAGCGGTCCATGACGGGGAACGGCCCTTCTCCTGCAGGCAGTGCAGGAAGTGTTTCAGCCAAAAACACATCAAGATTCAGTAGTGGGTGCACACAGGTGAGAAGCTCTTCGCGTGCACCACCTGCGGCAAGTGGTACGCCCAGTAGCAGCAGCTGATCAACCACTTGCAGGTGCACACTGGTGAGTGGCCATATGGCTGCTACGATGTGGGAAGACCATCCTCCACCAGATACACATGGGCGAACGCCCCTACCGTTGCCTGCTGTGTAGGAAGTTGCAGCCAGATGTAGCACCTCAAGAGCCAACAGCGAGTTCATTGCAGTGAGTTCACAGAGAGTGATGGCGAAGCCCTGGCCCTCAGGAAGGTGCGTGAGATGCAGGACTAGCCGTATTGGTACCACGAATGTGAGAAGTGCTTCCAGGACAAAAACATCATGCTCCAGACCCACGAGGAAAGGAAGGGTCTCGAGTACGGTGGGCCAAATCCATCACTTCCCATCCAGCCAAAAAAGACCCTGCTAGTCTCCGAGCCTGTTGACAAAGCAGCAGGAGTGAACCAGAAGCCCTCCCCCCATACCAAGGAGACCCTTTGTATGCACCGACTGTAGCAGGACATTTATGCAGGCCAAGTATCTTGCCTTACATCGGAGAAGCCACTGATGGGGACGGTGCTTCTGCAAGGAAAGAGACACAAGTTCGAAAGCACAGACGGGACCTTTTGGGGGCCACCACCTGTGGATGGTGACAAAGAGCAGATTTGTAGAGGGGGTGGCGGGAAGGGCCTTGATGGCACGAAGTTTTGCAGTTTGAAGAAGGTGGGCTGAAAAAGGTGGGCTGTACAAGTGCCTTTCTTGTTCTTCCACCTTTCCCTGGCCAGAGGACATGCTGAAGGAGAACTTCATCTTAAGTTCTCCAAACTTTGAGTTCCCCAAACTTTCCTGCATTGTGACGCGACTGGGGGAGGGTAGAGGGCATGGTTCTGCACAAGCAGTGGGCAAGTGCAAGCATGCGGCTCCATTTGAGTGAGTGGCTGGAATGCTTGCCCAAAAAGTGAGTGTGCATGCTTTCAGCTGCTGCTTGCACAAGTGCACAATCCGGTATGAGTCCAGATTTCATGCACACTCACCTGCCACTTCTGCGGCCTGGTTCCAAACGGCTCAAGGCCCGGTAGTGGACTGCAACCCCAGGAGTTGTGGACCCCTGTCTTAAGAGAAAAACCTGGTTTATGTCCAGCATCTGATGACGCCTACACAGAATGAGGAGCTGCAGGGATGTAAAACCCAGGTTCTGTCCCAAGTCACAACCCTTAACCAGGTCTGTCATAGGAGAGATCAGGATAGCAGCCCATCTCCAACCTGGGTACTCATTGTTGCTCTGGTTCCTGGCCCATTGCTGCTCTGGTTCCTGGGTCCCATCGCCATTGAGGGGTGATCTTGATCGCAAAAGGCCATCGACACTGGGAATGCTACAGTCCATCTCTCTTCTTGATTTGTCCCTTTCAGGAAGCACTTCTCTACTCCGAAGCTGTGTGGACTTAGACTCCCAGAATTCCCCAGCCAGCATGGAATTCTGGGAGTCGAAATCTGAACGTCTTAAAGGGGAAACGGTGGGTTAGGGTTAGACCCTGCAAGGGATTACAGGGTCATACAGGACCACCAACAACAACAACTGATGCATCGGGTAGAGTCTTTCACCAGGGTTAGACTAGATGACCTCTGGGTTCCTTCCACCTCTGGGTTCCACATTAAGGCCTTGGTGTCAGGCATGAATAAGCTCAGAATTTGCAATGGGGATCTGTTTTTCAGGAATTCACAATGTTTTATCAGCTGCTCTTTTGCTGGGAAAAAATATTTATTTGATTTGGGCACGATCTAATGAATATTCCTCAATTGTTTTTTAAAAAATCTGTATATATGAATAATAGTTGGGATTTTGTAAGTGTTCATTACCCGCAGTGCTCCGGAACAATGTTTCTCAAGCTTGGCAACTTTTAAGACAGGTGGACTTCAACTCCCAGGAATCCCTAGATAGCCATGCTGGCTGGGGAATTCTGGGAATTGAAGTCTACACAACTTAACACAGGCTGACTGAGGAATTCTGGGAACTGAAGCCCATCTGCCTTAAAAGTTTCCAAGGTTGAGAAACATTGTCTAGAAAGGTGTTGAGTTGGAGTTGTTAAAATGTTTGCAAACGCAGTTGGAATACACACAAAGCATATTGTGAAGAGAAGAGCAACAAAGAGGATTAGGGGGCTGGAGGCTAAAACATATGAAGAACGGTTGCGGGAACTGGGTATGTCTAGTTTAATGAAAAGGAAGAACTAGGAGAGACATGATAGCAGTGTTCCAATATCTCAGTGGTTGCCACAAAGAAGAGGGAGTCAAGCTATTCTCCAAAGTACCTGAGAGCAGAACAAGAAGCAATAGGTAGAAACTAATCAAGGAGAGAAGCAACTTAGAACTGAGGAGTGGAACAACTTGCCTCCAGAAGTTGTGAATGCTCCAACACTGAAGGTTTTTAAGATGTTGGATAACCATTTGTCTGAAGTGGTGTAGGGTTTCCTGCCTAGGCAGGGGGTTGGACTAGAAGACCTCCAAGGTCCCTTCCAACTCCGTTATTCTATTCTATTGCAAAAGTCTGTTTGATTTAAAAAAAGAAAAAAAATCAGAATTTGGAGACAATAAATGTTAAATTCCATTCAGAACTAATTTGTTTAATTAAAACATTCAAAAATTGAATTGAAAAAAACAGCTTCTCACACTAATTGACAATTATAATATGGGTAGTCTTGTACATAACAACCACAACTGAGCTGCAAATTTCTGCCACTGAGTGAGACGGTTGCAAAAGGAGGTTTTGGTCCCATTTGACGGTCTTTCTTGCCACCATTGTTAAGTGAATCAATGCATTTGTGAAGGGAGTCAGACAGTTGTGAATAGATGTAGAGATGATGAATGGATGTAGATAGATAATAGATGACTGGATGGATAGAGGGAGTGAGGGATGATCGGATGGATGGCTAGATAGATAATAGAGAAATTGATGGAGGAACGGATGGAAGGAGGGCTGGATTATGGAATGGATAGATAATATGTATAAATAGATATAGACACCTATATATGTACATGGGTGGATGGTTGGATAGATGGATAAATAGATGATGTATAAATTTATATAGAATAGATAATGATAGATTGATAGGATAGAGAGGTAAGAGATGATAAGATAGAGAGGTAGGTAGGTAGCTAGGACAGGTAGAACAAGAGAGAAGAGACACAAAGGAGAGATGGAAGGAGGGATGAATTGGATGGATCAACAGTAGATAGTAGACTTTGAAGAGCGTCGGTGCCAGCAGTGAAGTGGAGAGATTTCGCTCTCCAGAACTGCTAGGCACGAAAGACGCCGACGCTATTGCCGCCATCGCCGTTTGAAGACTCCGCTGCCCAGCTGATTGGGAGACCTCGCGGGGGCCGCTGTCGTTGCCGCGAGTATTGCGGCTGCCTGAGAGTGCCGCAGCCAAGGTGGGATCGCTGCGGTCCGGACGCTGGAGGCCCGAGGCTGTTTGTGAGCGCCGTGACTTGGGGATTGTCATGGCTGCCGAGAGGCTGCGCGGCCACCCGTTGGTGAAGGCCGAAGCCGCTGGGTGTGCAGCCGATTGAGAGCGCCGTGGCCTGAGATAGCCGCAGCCGGCGGGAACTGTGCAGCCCTTGCTGCGGTCGTTGGAAGCATCGTGGCCAAATTGAGAGTGCCGCGACCCGAGCGCTGAGGCCGCCGAGGCCGCCTGTGAGTGCAGCGGCTGGAGATCGGCTAGAGATCGCCGAGGCTACCAGGACCCTCGTGAGAACGCCGAAGTCGATTGAGGCCACCTGAGCCACCAGCCAGCCGCTTGAGAACATCGAGGCCGCGTGAGGTGAACGCCGCGGCCCAGCTAGACTGCGGAGCCTGGAGGAGCCTGCTGAGGGGAGCCCCGATCCTACTGGGACCACCACTGATCGTTGCAGTGTCAGCTGCTGGAGGCCCGTCCTGGGGGGAGGGGGGGGCGACCCCTGCTTTGGTTGCCTGACTTCTTCAGCCGCTGCTGTGCTGTTGCGGGGTTAGGGCTAGGGCCAGGGTTAGGGCTAGTTTAGGGTTAGGGCTAGGCTAGGATCAGGGTTAGGGTTAGGAATAGTGTTAGGATTGATTAGGGTTAGGGTTAGTGTTAGGGTCAGGGTTAGGGCTAGGTTTAGGGCCAGGGTTAGGGTTGGTTAGGTTTAGGGTTAGGGCTAGGGTTAGGAGTGGGGGTGGGGTTACTAGCCTGATGGTCTGCTGGCTTGTCGTCGCCGCTTGAGAACATTGCGGCTCAGCTGTGAGAGGGTCCCCCCTCCTCTCTCCCCCTCCTCTCCCCCCCCCTTGTCTGAGGGGGAGGCCGTGCTCCGACCATTGTCATCCCGGCTGTTTGTCGACCATGACTGGCCTTGTGGCTTTTGCTCTCATAACTGTTGCCGCCTACGGCTTGTTAGCCTTCCAATCAACCCTCCCCCTGCCTTTGTCCTCCGGATCATCATTGGGGAGTGAGCCGAGACCTTGGATTCTATCTTCGGCCCCTCTGGGCCCCCCGTTTGTGCTCCTGCCTATTATTCTGCGTTTCCATCCTGGCAGAAAGAGAGGGCAGGGGACGAAGAGGACGTGGGCGGGGGGGGGTGTTTTTTCCCTCCCCCCAATTGTTGCTAACGTACTATTTATCCTCAGACTTTTGGACCTTGCTCTCCCTGTGGGAGAAGATTGGGACATTAGCTTTCCTCTTCCATACTAGGACGATTTTGTACGATCTCAATTTGCACTATTGCGCAATTTTTTAAATGGTATGGTGAGTGTATGTGGCTTGAGTGTGGCTGATTGATTGTGCCCACTTTTATTAACCATATTGCTGTATTTGTGTTTTTAAATTGTTCTGTGGGGACTGCTTGGTAGTATGGCTGTGTATGTCTGAGAAGGCTGGAACCACAACCTGGTGCCTCCTACACTGAGTGCTTCTGCAGAAGTGTTAAGGGGGCCCAGGCTCACTCCCAGCCTTAGAATGTCTGAGTTAAATGGCCTGCCGAAGAATGCGGCTTCTATGGGGGGGGGGACTACGGACACGGGAGTGGGCCAGAACATTATGGTCATGACGGGGAGGGGCAGGTATGGTGGGAACTTCAGGGCTAGCCATTACCGGGGAAGGAGGGTCCGCTACATCACAGCGATTCCGCCTTCTGGCCCTATTAGTTCCATTCCAAGGCCAGATGGTGTGAGTAGTCAGGGCCCTGGTCTCAGGCTGCTGTT